CACCATTTGTTATCAGGTTTTTTTATTGTGTTGCTGTATTCATTTGAATGCGTGCATGTGTTTGTAAATTTTGTGTGTGTATGTGTGTGTGAGAGAGAGAGAGTGTGAGAGAGAGAGAAAGGGAAAGAGAGAGAAAGAGAGTGAGAGAGAGAGAGAGAATGAGAGAGAGTGAGAGAGAGTGTGAGAGAGAGAGTGTGTGAGAGAGTGTAAGAGAGAGTGTGAGAGAGAGAGTGTGTGAGAAAGAGATTGTGAGAGAGATTTTGAGAGAGAAAAAAATTTTAAGAGAGAGAGTGAGAGAGAGAGTGGGGGGGGGGGGGGGGGGTAAGAGACCCTTTCCTACCTCATTTCTTATTTTGTATGCATATTGTTTTTTGAAAAATAAATGTTTCCATTATTTTTTAAATGAGTGGTCATTCTGAATGCATGAACAAATGAATGAATGAAAACAATGAAAAACAAGTAAAATATGCAAGTAACACAGGTTTCTCTCTGTATTTTCAGAGAACTATAGCATCATGAAATGCCGCGCACTGGGCAGGCAAAATGACGCGGTGAGGGCATAATTGCCACGCACCATAAAAAAAAATGACGCGGTCACGGCACCTTGCCGCACTGTGGGCTATTGAGAGGCATTGCGATTCGACCTGGTCTCGGCACAAAAATCAAGGGAGATCACTGCAATAGCATCCAAACTGAGAAGAAATGGGTCAGTCATGTGACCACACACGCCATTCATGTTTTCTTCACGCAACAAGAGACACAGCCGCTTGACCTTATTAAACTGCCGTGGTCTGGCACATACACACTAGATCTACATGCGGTAAGCCACCTTGAACCAAGGGCCTCAACAGGTGATTTTATCGGCTTGCGAGAGGTCAGGGGAAGTCCTCGCCTCATGACCAGACCGCAGTGGGAGCTATTCTCACCAGGGGAGGGATAGCGACACAAGGGTTATATTCTCAAGGTTTCCCATCAAAAAGTAATCGTTTAGAACCAGAAGTAATTGTTGGTGGGGTCAAAACAAGTATCCTTTAAACGGGACCGCAATTGTACAGGAGTGCCGACTTTTCTGACAGACTAACCACTGACAGTACCACAAGCCAGAGATAGGAATCGAAAGTAGGAGAGACGAGAGTGCAGAGTGCTTCGAGGGTGGCGATGATCTTGTAATTCCGTTCATTAACTCATTCGCTACGCCGAGCCGTGGGGGGCGACGCAGCTAAAGTGCCGTCAGTATGCTAAGCCGCCCCCGCCGGCTCGAGAACCGACGTTCAATTTTAGCTTGGTTTCTATTCCAATCCACATATCCATGTTAAAATAAAGGTCATATAAAGTTGACTTCCGGGTCAAGCGTTTCCACCAAAATCCGAAGCTTTGATTCAGTTTTGAAACACGATTTCGAAGTTTATACGACATTGTTTTATCGCGAAGCCCAAATTATAGCCCAGACACCAGTCTTAGTACTTTTACACAACAAAATGTATCATTATTTCACTCACTAAAGAAGTGTAGGACTCTTCTTAATAATATTGATACTACTGGACTCAAATTGCCAGTGCACTGTAATTGAGAAATCATTATTTTTGAGTGCTAGAAATAGTCAAAATATTTTTTTTCTCCCTAAAATCACTACTTTTTGGTGAATTTGCTCAAAAAGTACCACCCAAGAATAATTCCATATAAGATACAAGGGTTTTTTTCTGTTTGGGATCCTTTTTTCAAAGAAAGTGGCTATTCTCACCTGCCCGAAAGTTCTCGCAAGATCAACTCCTCCCCTCTTCTCTCTCTCAACTCCTCCCCTCTTCTCTCTCTCTCTGTCTCTTTCTGAATACTGTCTATCGGTGTGGACGATCAAATTGACCAAAACAAAGTTAATTAATTTGGCTGTCTACAAAGATGCTACGGCTATTTAACTTTTCGAAACGAGCCGAACTACGCGGGTCGCCATTTTGTTTTGCCCGGAAATTCTCGCGCTACTCCTCTCTCTCTTTCTCTCTCTCTCTCCACTGCCCACAGACAAAATTGTACGCTTTTAGTAGGCTACAGTTGTAATGGAACATTTGTTCACGGCACAGAATTCTACAATTTTTCTGTTATCACAGTGTAGAATTCTGTGGTTTAGGGTGAACGCAAAATTTGGTGAACGCGCACCGGGTGAGAATAGCCACAATACTCGCCTGCACTATTCTCACTCCGGGTGAGAATAGAGGTGGCCTTTTTCAAAATTATTTTAAAATTATTTTTTTTTCAATATCGGAGGTTATGATCCAAATGTAAATATTATGAAATGCATGTTAAATAACTGCTCATTTTTCAATATTTTCCTGTTCTATATACAGTTATGGTTATTTTGATGTATAATTTGACTACTAGATCTAGATCTAGAATCTAGAATCTAGCACAGCGGTTATAGAGCGCCCATTTAGTTTTGGCTGGCGCGAGGCAAGCAAGCCCGCGCTTCCCCAGGTCAC